TTGTTTTATCATATTATGTACTAAGTTCATTTGTGAATGAAAACACCTTATAAACGTGTGGAGTATGTTGAGTAGATCCAAAAATATGCGATTATTTTCTGCTTACGATAAATGAAACTAAATGTAAGAAATACAACAAGATTGTGAAGGATCACGTCAAATTTGAGTTTATACAAAAAATGTTCATAGTATCAACAGAAGTGATTCATCCTACATTAAGTGGCAAAAGACTGAGAGAATATGAATGTGCAAAGAAAATCTATTGAAGAAAAAACTTCAGACTTGGCAGTACTGATTAAATTTTTATTGCATTGCTAACAGCAATATATTAAAGAGAATTTACAGAAAACTAAATATGACAAACGTTATTCAACATTTCCTACTGGTTTAAGAAAATTGCTGCTCGCTTTTTTAAGGAAAAAAGAAACAGTTAGCAAGACGAAGTGAGTAAAGCTATCCGTTTCTCATTGTCAAAATACATGACTATAAATATTCATAATGGGAGTCAGCATTGGTTTCTTGATAAGATTAAAGCATATAAAGTTTTGTAACTTTCTAAATTACACCAGAAATATACAGATAGTTAACAAAATATTAAAAGAGTTTGGGATAGATTTTAATACTCATGTTTCCGAATGTATCCTACGACTGATGTATTGTACAATTCTTTTTATTCACGATACTGATATACTGTACATTCATGACATTGCATTCATTTAGCAGTTTTAGATGTTTTGTAATTCAAAGCTAGAGAGTGTATCGATGAAAAAATAGCTGATGCAGACAGCGAAGACGATGATGAAAACATAAATAATATTATTATGGATTATAACAACGTTTAGTCATAATATTAATAAAGACCGGAAATGGATTTCATGTTTGAGATAAATATTGACACAAATGAAGCACTAAAACTTACTAAAAATAATTTAACAGAAATTAAGAAAGTATGAAAAATATGCCGAATGTTTCGTAAATCTCTTGTGTAGAATAGCAGAATTATATTTTGTAAAGGAGGAATTCAGTGGAGAAGAAAAGAAGCTTATCGTAGACTGCAAGACATGATGGAATATTCTCCTTTCTATGATTGAACGTTTTATAAAGCTAAGAAACTGCATTCCTGACGGTCTTCGCGCTGTAGCTTCAACAGAAAATGTCTGAAGAGGAATGGAATTTGTTGGATAACTTTGCTGAACTTTTCGTTTACTTGAATTTGTTTTGAAGGTTCTTTGCTCTGAAAAAGCAACTTTACTTAAAGCTAGCATGCTTATGAAAATTTGCCTTAAGAAACTAGATAGTAAAGAAAACCCTATTGTTGAAAATAACAAAGATTGCTTTACCGAACGCTATTCATCAAGAAGACAGAAGGAAGTCATCGTATTGTTGAGGTAACTAACCAATCTAGAGGATTTTAAATATAGATAGTTTGATTTATTCTCTTTATTAATCTAGACAGGCATTAAAGGAAATCACAGAACATATATTTCTTAGCTTTTTCCTAATGACACATCATCGAAGCAGGTAATAACGCGAAGTAAAAAGTTCAGCTAGCGTTGCTAAAAATAACAAAGAAGATAACTTAATGCACGAGTATTTAAGCGAAATGAACAGATTAGAAATGATGTCTGTGAAAGATTTCAGAGATTTTAATGTCAGAAATGAATTTAAATACTTTGAAGCCACCTTAAAAATTGTAAATTTAGAGGTTTTACAAGTACCTAATGCGTTACCTTTGACTAACCTGTTGAATCAGAAAGCTTATTAGCTGTGGGATTTTTTGTATCTAATCCTCTTCAAGGAAGAGCCGTAATGCTCTTTGTTTCATAAAATCTCATTTTAAAAATATACATAAAATCTATATTTAATTTTATACTTTTTCTAACAAGAATGTATTTTCTTTCCTATGTAAAGCTTTTTTACTATTATAAAAAATTTAATTTCAATGTTATTTTTAAAACAGATAAATTTTATTTTTATTCTTTCTACTTGTTTTACAGAGATTTACTTTTTGTTTCTAAATATAAATTTTTTTATTCAAAAATTATTTCTATCAATTTTATTTTTGTCTTTTCTCTCTGTGGATACTAGAGAGACTTTTCAATCATATTCATCGTAGGTTCAGCAATTCCAAAATGGGGGCATCCGAGTAGTAAGGATTTCATAAATATTGAAAGAAGGATTTTTTTCGATACTCCTCACTTTTTGTTATCCATAATGTAATTAATTAGGTTTTTGTATATGCATTTTTCACTCGTTGATTTCATGGGTGTTCCGTCCCAAATATGTCTGAGCAGCCGAAATATCTGGATAGACCCCACCACAAAAATTCTTGAGATTGCTCACCCAGATTCGATTCCGGGTCTCCAGAGCCGTTGGCACTGTTTGAATGATGTAATATTTTACCTAAAATAAAATATGTCAAAAGATGTTCTTTTCTTTTTCATATGCAAACGTATGATGTTGCATTTTTGCATTCCTTTGACCAAAACATAAGCGCTAAGGGGTTGTTCATAAATTACGTCCACATTTTTCTTGAAATTTTTAGTCCCCCTCATCCCATTGTCCCAGTTTGTCCAAGTTTTCCCTTCCCTTATTCGGACGTCCAATAAAACTCAACCCATCTCAAAACCTTTATTGTTTTATGAATAATAAAATGCATAAACTGTATAAAACTTAATGAAATAAAACGGATGTCCATTGAAGTTCAAGCCTTCTCTCCTCCTTGTCCGACTTGTCATAACCCACTCCCTCCCTTCCAGTGAGGACGTCACTTATGGAATGCTTGTTAAGCTATGCTTGTTAAGAATTAAAATCGATACCTCTCAGTTGTGTCTTTTAAAATAACTGTATTTTTCGATCAGTTAACACTAATTTTCAAAAAACTGGCTTCTAAATTTTCGATTATTTTTAAACCCTAATATGCACTACTATAAATAGGAGATTTTATCCTCCTGTAGTTAAATTTTCGCTGAAATTTTCGTGATAATCATATCGAACTTACAAGAACTTGCATAATCATATTTACAAACTTGCAAGAAAATCGTAAATTTAGAGGTCATAAGGCCAGTTTTATATTTATTTTTTCCTCGCAGTGTTTAAAAGTTTTACTNACGTTTATTAAATGTAAGAACTATATGAAAAAGTTAAACTATAATTAGCAATTAGTAGCTGGAAATTATCTTGAATAATATACAGAGTAAAGAAATCATACTCTTATTCTAATTGAATTCAGGTGATGAATTTTTTATTATATATTTGGTTATTGAAATATTTATTATATACCAATTGTATTGATTTTAAAGATATGGCCTTTAATCCCTGTAACTTTTTGAATTAACATCATATTAAACGACGATATTTATTATTTCTGATTTCAACGTTATTTGTCTTTTCTTTTACGATAATCGGTTTGAGTGTTAAGTCGCATAATCAAATGGAAAAATACATAGTTCTAGTGCAAATGTATAGGCTAATAAGTAAATGAAGTCGACTTACTATATGATAACAAATATTTCGTGTAAAGTTGTATAGAAATTTATAAAAATACTCAACACTTAGAAGTTATAACATCATTATCGGATCTGTCGGTTTGGTTGAGATGATGCACCATTTTAACGTCAATTCGATGTCAGTTTTATCCTCGCTCGTTAAAATAGCGAAATAATGACGTAAAATTGAGGTAAAAATGTAGGTTTCACTCAAACGAAGAAGCTTTTCGTGTTAAATTTAATGTTTTGTCAACGGAATTTTGAATTCTATTTAGTTTTATTATTAAACAGTTAGCAGGCATAAAATACAAACTTCCAGGTAGATAGAAATGCTACAGAAATTTTAAAAATTTGTTTAGTGTTTTTTTATTTTTAAATTTTTATTCATTGAAGTTCAAAATTATAACTATTTATATTTATTTATATATTGAACTTGATAACGGAAAGGATATCGAGTGGATCCAATGCATGCTAAACAGGAGAAATGTCTAAGAAACAAGGGCGTGATGTCTGCTATAGCGGCTTTAATACACCTGGAAAAGCAAATCAATGACATAGCCGGTTTCAAATGAAACGGACTATGTCATTGGCTTAGTTATCCAGCTGTATTAAAACTGTTTTTACCAGTAAACACGCCCATTGTTTCTTTCACTTGGCACGCATTATGATCCTTTTATCTTTGTGCATATTGTTCTTTTCATCGAATTCGCTTTACTGTCGTGAATGTCAACTTCAAAAATATCCATTTTAATAGTCCTATAAAATTCTGCAGATTATCTTTATTACAGTTACTTTTCCTGATTAGAAGTATAGAGTTTTTTCTGCGATAATATTGAGTTTAATGCCTCGTTTGATATATTTTTATATCATAAATCAAACAATATTAGAAACGTCTTGGGTAATATTAAAATTGTTCAAAGAAAATGATTTTATTGAAAAATCAGAAAAATTATAGGAATTATATATTGGATTGAATTATCTATTTCTGCTATTGAAAAGTATAGAAAAAGGCAATTATAATGTAGATACATACTTACAAATACTTTCTTCTACAGAAGTTATGTTAAATTAATATTAAGCAGTTTAATATTTATTTATTTATTTTATTTTATTTCTATATAAAGTCTTTTAAAAAATAATTTAAATAAACATAATCTCTTAAGAAATTTAATAATTTACATATAAACAAATGTATATAAATTTTTCATAAAATTATTATAAAAATTCTCATATAAATATAATTAAATTAAATTAAGGTTAATAATGCACAAATATTTAATTTTATAAAAATCATTTTTTATCATATAGAGATATATTATTTGCCAAATCGATAATTATTTTATTTAAATCAAAATCAAGCCGTAATTTAAAAACAAAATGTTTTTCTTTTTTAAATATTAAAAGCTTTTACACAATTTTTGTATCTTAATATTAAAAAAATTATAAATAGAAAAAGTGATTGCTTGATAAAAATATTCATTGATGACGAGGGAATGATGATATCTTTCGATAGGAAAGCAATTTCAATTCATCGAATCATTGATGCGGAATAATTCCAATATCATATTCCCCACAAATTCGCCGAAAGGAAGAAAAAAATCAAAATATAAAAATATAACTCAATAAAGTAATAAATATTTTCTAGATATATATTTTCCAATTTACATATCATTAAATTAACTTACACCAACTTAATCATTTCAGTTTCATTTGTGTTAATTGTTTACTTAAGTTATTAATATATGTGGAAACGGACTTATACTTTTATGGCCTTAACTGAATCACGTGTGCGTAAAGAAAATTGCTTTTCGTTGCTTGCAGAGCCAAAAGTGCCACAGTGATGAATTTTCGTACTAAATTTTTCTTTATAGTAATGTCTTCCGCGTGTCTTGAAATGTCGTTATAAAAGATTTGGCTGTATTTGGACTGCTAAAATAGACAGCGTTCAATAGGAGTACTTTAATTACGATCAACCGGTATGTAAATCCGTAGATATAGAAATTGTTAAATGATTTTCTATGGAAATTATTTGAAAGAGACTTTCAGTCTTTAGATTTCTGAACAATTGTATTGGGTGAAAGTGAAAATAGAAATTGAAAGCAAATGAGGGATATATTTGCCTGTAATACAATACATAGCTCTTTTAATTTCATTCTTATTTTATTAATAAATATTAAATACCCTCTATGTGTCAAAATGCAGACTTAAAACGTAACGTTTATTAAATGTAAGAACTATATGAAAAAGTTAAACTATAATTAGCAATTAGTAGCTGGAAATTATCTTGAATAATATACAGAGTAAAGAAATCATAAAGAACAGGTATTTGAAGTTTTCCGTAGAAATAATTATTGGAGAAATCTGAATCAAATTTTTTGTACACACTCTCCCGAGTATGCGGTTTCGATTTTCGAAGAAATGTTACTTCAAAGTTTAGCCGTTAGGGCGAAATTTGATGCTTATAGCCTTTATGTGCATATTATGTCGTTTTCTAACGAATTTCGGATATAAAAAGGAATCGCAAAACGTTCTTCACAATTTTTCGTTAGGTGAACATAAGTTAGTACTCACTTTGCGTGATCGTGCGTTACTTGTTCAACTCTTCTAGCAGCAATGCCAACTCGACACTTATGGAATTTTGGCGTTTAAAAGGTTTACGAAGAGGTACTATGACTAATGGGAATTTTAAGAAAATAACTTTGCGTTTTGAGAGTAAGTAAGGTGCACCAGCGTGAAATTTCACTCTATCGGTTGAATTTTGAAGTAAAACTTTTACCGAAAATCGAAACCGCAACTCAGGACATTATGTATACCAAATTTCGTTGTGATTTGCGCAATAGTTATTTCTTCTTCTAGAAAGCTCTGAACTCTTTAATCATGACTACCCTGTATTTGAATAT